CACACAGGGTGCCCTCAGTCAAGCTGAGGACTGATTTTATAATATATAACTAATCTGCATTAGCTGCCCCTGGGTGCTCGGTCACCGTGTGATGAATGTGTCTTTTTTCACTGCTGACTTCAGCTGCTGTTCCCTGTTTCCTGTGGGCTACCCCTGAGGCAAGTGCATGCTGAACAGGCTGTACATTACTGATGTTTTTCTGAGGTGCCAGTTACGTTGCTGTTAGGTAGTTAAGACGTGTGTTATGGGGTAATACTGTCAGGGAATGTAATTCTGTTATGAAGATTTCTAAGGCACGTCATGTAAATTCATGTGTACAGTAACAGAGAACATAAAAACGTATGATGAAATCCATGAAGAGCCTTCTCCCTTTTTTCTTGGTTTCCTTGTGATCTTTGCATTTAATTATATCTGATGACTCTTTCTAAATAGGGGCTACTATCCTCAGGGAGGAGGTGAAGTTGTAATCCAGATGTCACCAGTCAAAGAGTTGAGCCCAATAAACTTAACAGAACGTGGCACAGTGACAAAGATATACGGAAGAGCATTTGTTGCTGGAGCACTGCCTATAAAAGTAAGAGCTCAGAGTAGGTCTGATTGATAGTATCCAACTTCATGTAGCTATATAAAATTGCATGCAATCTACTTAACATACCTCTACTCTTCCTGTGTTCTGCAGTCTTTCACATATAAACTAAGTAGTCTTATTAAATGGTTTCACTTACTCTGACGTTTCTGAAATGCATTTCTTGCATAGCAATATGGTATTAGCTACAACAGGAAAAGAGGATGGTATCCTTCATCTTTCATGTGACTGCTCAAAAGTCTTTAGCATATATTGACAGGTATCTCATACCTCACTGACATGTCATTAATATTTAGGTAGACTATTTTAAATCTGAAATCATGGCCCTTGTTCAGAGATTTATGGGATTTACGGCGCAATGTAATAGGCAGAGGTCAGACTGCATCAAATTTTCCAGCCATTGCTAAGGGTGTTTTAGACAGAACAAGTCAAAGGTAGGTTTAGCCAAAGGTAAAATAGATAGAAATTTGCTCCTTTGTACCCCCTTTCTAATTCCTGTCCTGTCTGTGTTCACAGAGAATGAGTGGTAGGATCTCCTTAAGGCTCCTTCTCACACACAGCCTAGCAGGTAGTAGAGGAAGGGAGAGGAGAAACTGAGTTACTTTTGAAGAGCTGTGGACTGCTGGTTTTGGTCTTAAAATCTCCAAACCTATGAATATTGGCTATGAGAGAATCACAACTATGGGATAAGCCCCCACCTGCCTGTGATTTAAAACTATTATTCTATATCTTACATTTTATAGAGTATATCCTGTACATAATAGTTGTGGGGTGGGTTTCTTCATTTGTTCATTTGTGGGTTTTTTACAGTCAATGTCTTGGGATAATCGAGACTAAAATCAAATCTTTCCCCCTGTGAATGGAGAAAAGATGACTTTCTAGTGATATTGAAGCTTCTACATACATCACTATAATTGTATTTTTTCAGCATTTAACGTTACCTTAATTTTGTGGGGAAATTCTCAGAACAGATGATGTTCAGTGCTTGCTTGTAGGGGTTTGTAACAGTCCTTTGTTTTTCTACTTAATAAAGTAGTCCCTTCTTTCAGTGGTTCACTGCAATAATTCGCTGGGATGTAACTGAAAGAAAAAGCATTACTATAGTTATGTGATTTAATGAATGTTTTTACCTCTTGTTAGCTGGCAAAAGACATGGCAGCAGCAGCAGTGAGATGCATCAGAAGAGAAATCAGAGATCTTTACATTAACATTCAGCCTCTTCGAGAACCTGATGATCAAGCCTTTGGGACTGGAAGTGGAATCATGTAAGATGAGCCCAAACTTGCTATTGATACGTGTAATGTTGCTGATTGATTAGCTAGGTTGTGATTACATAGCTGATACAGTGTAATGCAACTGATTTTGTTCTTAATATTGATTCTGAGGTTTCTGTTTAGTGTTGTTGCAGAGACTTCAACGGGTTGTTTGTTAGCTGGGTCATCACTTGGCAAGAGAGGTAAGAATTCCATGAAGTATACCTCTTTGGGATTTAACTTAATGTGCTATTAACAAATAGGAATCTCATGTGTAACCTATTCAGCTAGCTGATGCTTTGAGTGTTGCGTTTTTAAATGGATGTTGTTTAGTAATAAAGGACAGTGGAAATGAATGGATTTTAAGCATTTATAGTAAATAGAATCTTACACTTTCTACTAAGCTGCTTCTGCACAGTAACAAAGTAACAAAATGATTCAACTTACCTTTTATCAGAATGGATTGTTAAGGATCACTGAGTTGAAAACGCTTCTGGACTTTAAAAACATACAGTCTTTGTGATTTACCTGTGAAGTTTTGGTCAGCAGTAAATCTAGATTAAAAGGAATAGAGTCATCTTGGGTTTAAGTGGTTTGAATAAAATGTTTCTCCTAACCCATACCCTGCTTAGGAAATATGAACTATATGTCGTCTTCAGATGGGAGGGGGGTTTTAAGCAGGTATTTGAGGCAAAAGCATAGAAATAAGGTTTAAAAAGTTGATAAATTCTTGCTTTTTTTTTCCTTCTGTATTTTTAAAATGTTCAATAATGGTTGGCAGCATCCTAATCTCCTGGATTTGCCTGTTAGGAAAGAATTCTGACAAGGTTGGCATTGAAGCAGCCGAGATGCTGCTTAGGAATCTTAAACATGGTGGAACTGTGGATGATTCTCTGCAAGACCAGGTAAGGCTCCTGTGTGTGTTTACATGAAGTTGAAGTAGCAAGAACATGTCTGTATTACTTGTAAAGAATATAAACCCAAACAGAGGAAGAACGAGATGTGGCTTTCAAAGTTAGACTCTATCTCCACAGCTGAGCAGGGCTTTACATCATTATTTCATAATGGGAAGTTTTAGGAGGTTTCCAGGTGTGGTCACAACATTGCTGGGATTAGCAAATAACATATAGTTCTTAAGAACCACAGATGCTCCTGGCTTTGCACCAACACGCTTGAGTTTTCCTTTCCTGTAACTCTTACTAGATACGGAAGAAAGAGGCAGGAATTTGCTTCTATTTGGCATTCCAAGTAGGGGAGTAAAAATAGCTCCTGGTTACATATGAAGAATGATACTAAGTGCAGCTATTAGAGAACAGAGTATCTAGGAGGTGCTCCTGTTTGTCTTGCTCACCTAACTTCATTTGGGAATTAAGACCCTCCACTTTCTCATTCTCAACAGCACAGGCTGATGAGAATCTTGGGCTGCTGTGGGTGGGATGACATGACCTCTCAGCTGTAAACACCTGGCTGCATGCTACTATTGTCTACTATAATACGAAGCATTTAGGTCTTGGACCCATCCTACTTTTCCCAAAATATGCAGAGTACAATTGATAGAAACATGGCACAGCTAAAATCAGTATGTATGGGAGCTGCTCAGTGTTGTATCATGCTTTTCAGAGTACTTGCCATGGTGCTGTTTGTAAATCAAGTAGTTTTTGAATAGCTGTTTGGTGAATATGTGATCAGAAAGTGTTAGGATTAAAAAACCTTTCCCTGACTTTTTCTCTCCACGAAGGTAAGCTCCAGTCTGGAGTCTGGGTGCAGGAGGGTAAGAGAGAGCAAAGCTGAATGTAGTAATGGGAGTTCAGTGGCAAACTCCACTGTGCAAAAGCAGCAGGCCTTCTGTAATAAGCATTACAGTTACTACTTCCAAGCTTCTTGAGCCTTAAACCACTCTTAACACTCAGCATCATGAACTTCTGTGAAACTTGGCAGACCACATTTTTACATCTACAGACTTTTCCTATGACCTGAAGAGTTACTTAATAATTACCTTTCCCTCCCTTTCAGCTGATCATTTTTATGGCACTAGCAAAGGGGGTGTCCAGAGTGAAAAGCGGACCAATTACACTCCACACTCAGACAGCCATACACTTCACAGAGCAGCTGACAAAGGTGAGTCCAAAAGCTTAGGAAGTTTTACCCATCGGGTGTCATCAAGTAACAAGGCAGTGCAGTTTAGCAGGCACTGTGAGCTGAACTTGAGTACACAACTATAGAATCAATGCTTTGGGCTGGAAAGGACCTTAAAGCT